AGAGAGAGAGAGAGAGAGAGAGAGAGAGAGAGAGAATTTTTCATATTTATTTCTTAGTTCTCGGCGGACACAACATCTTTGTTAGTATGTGGTGCTGAGGATCGAACCCAGGCCGCACGCATGCCAGGCGAGCACGCTTACTGCTTGAGCCACATCCCCAGCCCTGGACTGCAAATTCTTGGGGCTGGAATCTGTTTTGTTCCTACCTTCTCCTGGGGAGCACCAAACAGTGGGCTTGGCCCCTCACGGGCCCTCGGTAACATTTGTTAAGTACATAAGTGAATACTGAAGGTCAAGCATTTTCTTTCTTCCTTTTAAAAAACCTATTTATTAGTTCTAATCAGTTATACATGAAAGTAGGAAACTCTTTGATTCATTGTACACAATGGCCAGGTGTGGTGGTGCACATCTGTAATCCCAGGGGCTTGGGAGGCTGAGGCAGGAGGATTGCAAATTCAAAGTGAGTCTCAGCAACTTAGTGAGGCCCTAAAGCAACTTAGAGAGGCCCTGTCTCTAAATAAAATATGAAGAAGGGCTGGGGATGTAGCTCAGTGGTTAAGCACCTTTGGGTTCAATCCCCAGTACCTAGAAAAAAAAATGTAATTTAACCTCTTTGAGCTTCTGTAAAAGTGGATCTCTTAGTAAGGATCAAATGAGGATGGAGAGTGCATTTTGAAATGCAGAATCCTACCCAAATGTGTTCGATAATGGTCACTGGTGGCAGAGAATGGAAAAATCCTTTAATACAGGAACCCAGTCATTTCATGTTAGGCCACAAGAGGGCAGCCTCTCCCCCATGCCCCTGTAGGGCCCTCTCACCCGTTTCTCCCAGAGGGACCTGTCCAGGCCTTCTGGTAAGTAAAAAGCAGTGTAGACCCCCCCATGAAGAGCCTGGGCCTGGGGACCTGTCACTGGACTTGTCACTGGGGGTATGGATTGCTTTCCTCCACAGGACAGAGGCACGTGGTGACATTTAGGGACAGTTGTGAGACCCTCAGTACTTCTTGGGTTGTGTTGGGCGGTGGTCTCAGCACTGGTTTCTGCAGGCGGAGGCCAGGATCTCTATCTGCATATGTGTATTAGAGCATGTCTGCAGAGTGGGGATCCTCTGGTGTCGTGAGCCTGTCTATCCAGCTCCAGGCACCCAAATGCTTGCTGAGTGCTGCTGAGGGGACAAGGGGGAGTCTAATTTAGGTGGCTATTTGTTGCTATTCCTGTCCGCCCCTTGACTGTGAGACGCCTGCAGACCTCAGATCCCTGTGTGTAGGAGTCAGCTAAGTCCCCAACTCAGGTGGCAATACATTCCCTAAGGTGTAGTATAAATTCTAGGAGAAACTGCAGAAGGATAAGAACTGCAAGCTTCTAGAAGGCCTGAGTTCTCCCTCCATCCTGTGTCAGTGCTAAAAATATTGGGTGCATGAGCCGGGTGTGGTGGCGCACACTTGTAATCCCAGCAAGTTGGGATCAAGGCAAGAGGATCCCAAGTTCAAAGCCAGTGTCAGCAACTTAGGGGGGGTCCTAAGCAAATTAGAGAGACCCTGTCTCAATAATAATAATAATAATAATAATAATAATAATAATAATAATAATAAAAAAGGGCTGGGGATGTGGCTCAGTGTTTAAGTGTCCCTAGATTCAATCCTTGGTGCAAGGAAAAAAAAAACAGAACATGGTAGGAAGAGCTCTGCCGCCCAGGGCTTCTCCCTTCTTCTTTTTTTAATATGTACTTTTTAGGTGTAGATGGACACAACACAATGCCTTTATTTTTATGTGGTGCTGAAGATCGACCCCGATCCCGCCTGTGCTAGGTAAGTGCTCTACCCTGAGCCAGAATCCCAGCCCCTTCTCCCTGCTTCTTAAGAGGGCCCAGCCCTTCTGAACCCTAGGCTCCCAGGGAGGAGTGCAGCTATCCGGGCCTTCCTTCAGTTTGTTCTGGGGCACAAAGGAGAGATTTGGGTAGGTCCTTGGCATTTGGGAATCACCATGTAAGAAGAGCTTTGTTCTCAAAATGTGGCAGTGTGGAGGACTGGCCCTGCTGCCCATGGTACAGCTGAAGCCCAATGTCATTGTGCAACCCGGCTAATGCCTGGGGGGGCCCTAGGAATCCAAATGCTGTGTGAGGTGTGAACTGGCCTCAGATTCTAGTCTGTGTCTCCTGTTTGACCAGATGAGTCACACCTTTGAGACTGAAGGACAGGGGCTGTCACATGGCCAGGCTACCGGGCTCCATGGTCCTTGCTGAGCCCCAGGAGACGCTCTCCCTCCCCCAGCCCTACATTCCTAGACTGTGGTGGCATCTGATTGCCTGAAGGTGGCCCCTGATTGCTATCTCTGCTGCCTCTGGAAGTGGTGGATGATAGGAAGCACCGGGAGGAGGGTGGGGGATTACCTTATCCGGGGCTGTTAGGAGGAGGGTCTTTCCCTGCCTCCTCATCATGTTCTCAGGAAGAAAAAGGAAATGAGCCAAGAGTTCAGCACTTTATTATAGTCACATAGCACAGGAGAGGCCACTTGGGTTTCAGCAAAGGGTAAGCCTCCCCAGCACAGGGCCCCACCAACCAGGACAAGTGGGGATGGGGGACCACATGTCATGGTTAAAAGCAGAAACACAGACTTGATTTGATGCCAGCTTCACCATGGGTGGTCTCTGCTAAATCTCTTGACCTCTCTCAGCCTTGGATCTCTTTGTCTATGAATTAAGCAGTAGAACTGACTTCAGTGGGCTGGGGGGAGAACTGAGACCAGGCTTGCACACATGTTCGGCTCAGTCCCTGGTGAGTTATGAATAGTCAAAAGGGGAAGCCATTATTGCTATTTTTACTAGCAAATCTGATATTCCTATGGTCAGGCTGCCCCAGTCTCCATGTATGAGTCTTATTTCCTAAAGATCTACAACATAGCCTGTTAGGAACACAGCCTGGGACATTTGTGGGAACAACCTGGTCCCTGGGAATGTGGCCATCAGACCCCAAAATGAGGTTTCTGGGGCCTTGACAGTTATCTCTACCAAATCCATGAAAAGCACTAGGAAGAGTTTGGGGAAAGTTCTAGTTTAGGATTTGGGGCATTTATTTAGTTAGCATTCCCTCTACGTAGTGGGGGAGGCAGTCTCTTTTAGTTTTGTAGTTTTTTTTTGTGTGGGGGGGTAAAACAGTGACAGAGGCCACAGAACTTGAAATCTGCTTTCTCTGCCTCTGGCTGTCTGGGTGACCTTGGGCTGGTCACTTTACCTCTCAACCTCACTAACCCTACTAACCTTAGTGGAACTTTGAGGATGAAACTGGGCATTGGAATAAAAAGTGAACTGTAAATGATGGGTGCTTGGTAGGTAGCAAAGTGCTAAATAAGATACAAGTGGCTCAATTGATTGGGGCTGTGCATGGTGGTGATGCCTATAACCCAGCTGCTCAGGAGGCTGAGGCACAAGCTCTAGGCCAGACTCTGAGAATTAGCAAGACTCTCTCAAAATTTTAGAAGAAAAGGGCTGAGGAAGTAGCTTTAATGGTAGGGTGTAGAGTAGCTAGTGTAGGTAGGTAGAGGGCTTAACGTGTGTGACGCCTTTAGTTCAACCCCCAATACTGCAAAAAGATAAAGGAGATGATTGGGATAGAAGGCATCTCTGTGTGTGTGTGTGTGTGTGTGTGTGTGTGTGTGTGTGTAACGCATGCGTGTGCTTGTGCAGGAAGAACAATACCTGAATTTTGACCCTTGTAGCAAGGTTAAGAGGTGTGTGTGTAGGATGGTCTCAGGGCACTGCAGTGAGTAGAAGCACCACAAGAGGGCGTCCTGAGTCTTGTTTTCTCTGATTAAAATTTTTTTCCATTTTTTCTGTGGCTGCTTTCCAAATCAAATTAAGCCTTATGGTTTGCAGTTTACCTAATTGATTTAATAAACTTTTAAAATAAATTCACGTGCATGTATTAGTTTCTCAGTAACGTCGATACGATACTGTCGTTCCTATGGCAAGCCCTTCAGGGAAGTGGGGGAGGGTGGGGAGGGATGGAGAAGAGCTCAGGCCTCCTGGTGTCCTGGTTCAACCACTGCTCAGCTGTGTGACTTGGAACAAGCTTCTCCAGAGTGCGACAATGCTGAAGTTCCCACATCCAGCCTCACAGGGATGTTACGAAATGGACACAGTGGAAAGAAAAGCAACTTAAAGGTCAAGAACATGGTTCACAAGCCCTCTTACCTCCAGTGCATGACCTTCTCCTTGACCCTCATCCCACGGGGCACTGCTAGGGTGGGAGGGAGGCGAATCCAGCTGCTAAACCGTGACCTCAAGAACAGTATTTCCAGGAATCCCCATCTTAGCATCCAAGGGATTCCTGGGAAAACTGGACCGTGAGGACAAGGTGGGAGAGAGTGAGTAGCCTTCAGAACCAAGGCTGCCATGTCCCTACAGGCCAGCTGGGGTTTTCTTCCGCATCCAGCCATGGCGGCAGCGGCTAGTGTGGGTGCCATGTCTCACAGGATGCAGCCCATTGCTCTGGGAAGAGTAGTGACTGGAACTTCAAGTGCCCTGGAAAGTACCTTCCCTGTCATCAAACCCAGACTGACGATGTCCATCAGAAACATTTGGCAACCCGGATCCCAGCCTCAATTGGGCAGATGGAGTTCCCAGTTTCTGGCAATTTCCTTGCCGATGACCCCTGGCAAATCACTTAACCTCTGAGCCCTGGCTTTCCTTCATTGTAAAATGGGATAGTACAGGACCTAGTGGGGAAATAAATGAGATCAGAGAGCAGGGGAAAGGATTCATGCAATGTTTTGGGTCTGTCTTTGCTAAAGTGACCCCAGGTATGAACACAGGTGAGCTTCTCTTCCTGCTCCCCGATCCTGGATTCCATAATCACCACCGATGGGTGAGAATGTGGATCTGGAGACAGACAGATGAGGCAACAACCCCGGCTCAGCACAGTCTGTGTGACCTTGGGTAAGTCGTTTAACAGAGCATCAGTTTTCTTCTCTGTAAAGTGGCCCAGTGACACGGTCCATCTCCCAAGCTATGGGGGAGGTTAAATAAAATTGTGCCAGCCCAGTGGCTCTCCTCTGCTGCTCACTGTTTGTCCAAAGCCTCTGGGAGAGCTCACACATTTATGAGATGCCTGCACTCGTTTAGGCAACAGCCCAGATCCAAGATTAGGAGCTCAGAGAGCAAAGACCTTGACTCAAAGCCCAGGACTTCTGTCTCTAGGGCTAACAGGGTTTTTAGGAATTGTCTGATCTACACATGATAAATGGGTTTCAGCTCCAAATCATTAAGAGTGACTGTCCAGGTCTCAGTTGAGCAGGATTCTAAAGCTGTATCCAAACACTTCAAGAATGGCTGCCTTGACGGATTAGCAGTGTCCCCTGTGGGCTCAGAAAGAGGATGTGGAGGCAGATTACTAGATAGCAGTCTCCACAGAGTGGCTCAACACCTTGTGCTACAGATAGACGTTCTGGGTTCACAGGGCCAGGGCCTGCTTGGAATCACAAAGCCCATCGTGACACTGGTAGAACCTCCCCACCTCTGCCAGCTGCTGACCGTCTGCAGTCTGTGAACTCCCCGTCAGTCCTTCCTGGTACCTCACTTACCACTTCCAGGATGATGGCTGCAGAACAACTTCTCCCTTCCCGAGCTACAGTGCTTCATCTCAGACTCCCAACTGACCAGAGATGCAGCACTGCACCTCAGGCTGGGGGACAGGGCGCTGCACTGCTCCGCTTGGCTGGCCGGTGGTAGGCACTCCTCCCTGGACAGGAGAAGGGGCATGAGAGGGGACCTCAGTTCCACCCCTCCAGCTCTGCCCGGGGACTGATGGAGCTATCTCAGCAGCGTTTCCTGTCCTTGGCCTGACATTGAAGACCTCTAGGATCAAACCTCGACCTTCCTCTTCTTTTCCTTTTGGGCTAGAGATTGAACCCCAGGGTGCTTTACCATTGAGCTACATCCCCAGCTCCTTTCATTTTTTTGTTCTGAGACAGAGTCTCACTAAATTGCTGACTGGTCTCAAATTTGTGATCCTCCTGCTCTGGCCTCCCAAGTCACTGGGATTATAAGCATGTGCCATTACGTTTGGTCTTAAATGGTTTTTAATCGCAAAGTTGTGTAACTATCACCACAATCCATTTTAGAATATTTCATCACCAACCCCCCTCTCCCAAGATAAAGAAAGCCCCTTTCTTAGCCAAACCCAGCCTTTGGTGGACCACCTTCTGCCTCTATAAATCTGCTTGTTCTGGACTTTTCGATAATTGGAATCATCAAGTAGACTGACCTCTGTTTTTGACCCTATGCCTCATCTTTATGTGTGATGCACCCCAGTCAAACAGCATCCTGGTACTTGACATTTATTCATTAAACACTTGTATCCAACCTGTCTTCCCTTTTCTCCTTCTTTCTTCTTACCCATCCTCCCAAAGTGACTTTTCAAAATGCAAATGTGCTCAATCTTTCCTGGGCTTATACTCTAGAAGGGGCTCCCCATTACCCTGGTGCTGGGCTGTCCCCCCTCCTTCCCCCAACCATATCTTCTTGGTGTGCTGTCTCTACTCAAATGACCACCTTGGGCTGCTGTCCCTGACTTCTTAGATCTCAGGACACCCTGCTTCACACGCTTCCCTATCCTAGACCACTCTTCTCCTTTACTGCTCTTGAGTTGTGGTTTTCACTTGTGGACTGTGAGGTCCACCTGCAAGGGAAGAGCCCTGGCAACTGTCCTCAGCCCTGAGATCAGGGTCTGGCAGTGTGGATGCCCCATAGCATTGGCTGAGTGGAAGAACCATGTCCTCAGTCTTGCTCTCTCTAGTATGGGAGTTATTTGCCTGGGTGTCTGACCTGGTTAGATTTCCAGTTCCCTGAAGACAGTGCCCCATGTCTTATTAATTGAGGGGTCCCTAGCTCTTGCTGATGGCTTTGTCCAGGGTGATGGGCTACAGAGAGTGTCATGTGGTGGCTGATTAAATGGCCACGTAGGTAATGCATGTTCTCCTTTGGGCCTGACAGGTGAGTGAAGCCCTTCCCCAATTCCTCCTGCTCTGCCAAGCTCTCAGGCTCCCCAGAGGACCCTCCTGCTTTGGCTGATGGTGACTACGGTGGCCTTGATGCCAGATGACATGTGCTCTCAGAGATGTGTGAGAGGGGTGAGCAGACTTTCCTCAGGGCTGGGAGAGAACAGAAAAAAATATGCGGCTCCATTAAAAACAAACAAACATGTTTACTCTGTCTCCAGCAGAAATCTGACATCAGGTCCCATCTGAGCTCTGGGGGGAGGGAGGGCATTGTCCTCTGGTCTGCTGCTCAGGGCAGGCCACTTTTGATGGTCTGCTAATGGAACAGCCCTGCCTTCTTCTTATCTGGAATTTTCCTGCAGAAACTTCTTTCCAAGTGCATTTGGCTGGCTGGTAATGGGGACACTGGCCTCATTTGGGGGTCAGGGACGGCCTGTTTGCTCCATACCCCACAGCTCCTGTTCCCTGGGAGGGGAGGTGTTTAGCCTGACCAAGGGGGAATCTCAGTGAGAGCCAGATGGTTATCCTAAAAAAGTGCAGCTTCACTCCCATGAGTCAAGCTGAGAAGGAGTCCCCACCGTCCCTGGGTGACTGTTGCCAAAGCCCACTCCTCTGCACCACCATCGGCCTCCAAGGGCAGGAGGTAGAGTGAGTGATTCTGGGAATTGGTGGCCTCAGTTGTTCCATGTTGAACTGCTTTCAGTCCTTCAATGTATCAGGGGGAGAAAATTCTCCATTTGGTGCTGTCCTGCCTGGGACACCTTTCTGAGTCCTGCTTATCACCCACCTGGGCTTCAGGCCCAGGGCCTGACCAGCCACAGTTTCAGGTTAAAGTGTTAACAATGTTGTTTCATTTCCATTGTATTTATTTTTAACTATGGACAGTGTTCCAGTGTTTCATTTAAGTATTTACCATTTAAGCAACTGTTTCTACTTTAGCATTCCAAAGGACTGGTGCTGGCCTAGAATCCCAATAGCTAGGGAGGCTGAGACAGGAGGATGGTGAGTTCAAAGCCAGCCTCGGCAAGAGTGAGGCACTAAGCAACTCAGTGAGACCCTATCTCTCAATAAAATACAAAATAGGGCTGGGGAGGTGGCTCAGTGGTCCAGTGCCCCTGGGTTAAATCCCCAGTACAAAAAAAAAGGACTCAACTTACAAAATAAAAGGAGCATGGGAACGGCTGAGTGTGGGAAATGATGCCTGATGCCTTTTGATCTTCAGACAGCTGGTGAGGTCCACCTCTGCTGGAGGACCAGGAATGGGAGGTAACAATTCCAGGGTTGCAGAGCCTGAACTGCACCTGGGGAGGGGCCTGTTTCCACCTCACCCTGTGGGTGGAAGACAGTGCATCCAAGACAGCAGGTCTCCTGGCATGAGAGGCAGGAACCAGCAGTAGGAGGCCCCATGCTTCTTTGGGGGAGAGACTGGTGCCCGGGCAGGGGGCTGAGATGCAGCCTTTGGCCACAGGAGGTCTTTGCCTCCATCTCCAATGGGCCCTTGGGTCTGTCCTTCTCCAGGCTAGAGGCTACCTAGATCTGTCCCTTTGCATCTAGGACAATCATGTTGATGATGACTATAATAAGAATGGTCATTTATTGAAATGCTTTAATTGTGCAAATCCTTGTGGACACCCTAAGGCTCCATGGGAATGGAATTTTCCAAAGGCAGAGAGCAAGGACCTGCACTGGGATTCCTCACTCAGAACGGCCAACCCCGGGTCCCTCACTGTTGACCTCTATACAGATGTCTCATCTCTTGACCCATGTCCCAGTCTCTGGTTTTGGGACAAGATCTCATCACCACATCTGTCCACACAGCAGAGCAAGTGCCTCATCTACATGCAGAGGGAGATGGGATCAAATCTGACACAGTCCTCGCCCTGGTATGGCAAAGTCAGGCTGACAGAGAGGAAGGCAGAACTAAGAGGGTCAAGAAAGACCCCATGAAAGGACTGCCAAGGGCTTAGAGGACAAAGAGGCTCCAATCCCTGGGGGAGCTGGGCAGGCTTCCTGGAGGAGGAGGTGGTCCTGCTGAGCTGTGGGGAGGGGCAGAGGTCCAGGCAGGGTGCCCTTCCTCCTGGCTCTCTGGCCCCAGGAACACTTCCTTTGAGTCTTGCCCACTTGCTGGGCTGGCAGGCAGCACTTGTCCCATCCCCTGTTTCCTTCAAGCGAGGGCCTCACTGAGAAGGGGCTCTCTGGCCCCTATTTCACTTACCCCATGAAAGGCTCCTTCACACTGGATCCCAGGGGAGATGGGGGAAGCCATTTGGGAGTCTCGGTTCTGTCGCCAGTTGGCAAGTGACTTCACGCCAGGCCCCTCTCCTCTCTGTGGCGCTCTTTCCCCTTCTGTTAAAGGAGGTGACTGAGCCAGGCGGTGTCAAGAGTTTTACCTGGTGGCTTTCAGTGCTGGCTGTGGGTGACTTGGGGGTCTGCTCCCAGGAGAACGCACTGTTTTCCCCTCCCTTTCTGGATGTCTCCTGGAAACGTCTCTGGGTTGGGGGAAACTTGGTCGGCAGGCTGTTGGAAGGCTCTGGGGAAGGGTGGGTGAAGGGGAGGCTGGGAGGGAAAAAATAAACAGTGGCTGTCTGGGTTTTCTCACCAGGCCTCGGTGAGGAGGCTGAACAGGGCTCCTTCCTTATATGGCCTGGCTGGTCTGGGCTGGGAGCCTGCCCAGCCCTCCCCACCTCCACCACCAGGCAAAGGGCTGCAGGACACTGCTGGTCACCTGGAACTACGCTGCTGTGGAGGCCAGAGCAGAATCCAGGACTTGCCCCAGTTATCACCTGTATAAACCAGCTGTCCTGGCCTCTGGCTGCTTGGGGAGAGTGGGTGGGAGGATTCAGATGGGGATGAGGGATGGTGGAAGAGAATCATCCAGAGAGGAGGGGACCCACCTGGTCCTGACTTGACTCAGCATGACCTGGCTAAGCCCTTTCTTCTCCATACATCTGTTTCTCCTTCTGTCCAACAGGAGTATGGAAAATAAAAATCAATCTCATCAGCCCTACCGGGTGGGAGCTTTTGAATCCCTATTTTGCAGAAAAGAAAACAGACTTGGAGAGGCCGAATCATTTGACAATAGCTATCCAGCCGACAGGGTGTGAGACAGCCTTCCAACTTGGGACTATCTGATATCAGGGTCTGGGCTGAGATTCCTCTTGGTGGAAACATGCAGCCACTTATAGGTGCTGTACGAAAAGAGATTACACTGGAGCCACTCTCCTAGAAGACCCGAATGCCCAGTGACCAAGCCCTAGGGGAACAATTCCTTTAAGCCACAGGAACAGGAGCTACAAGGTCATTCATCTTGGTGTTCTCGGCACATCACATAGTGCCTGGCACAGACTCAGGGCTCAGGAAGGGGTTCTGTGGAATCATTGGATTAAAAAGCTTCACAGGTCAACCTGTACCACGGGCACAATCCCCTTACTCCAAGGCACATTCTCAGGATTAAACAACACAACCCATGAAAGCCAGGGGCGCTGGTGCACATCTGTAATCCTAGCAGCTTGGGCAGCTGAGGCAGGAGGATTGCAAGTTCAAAGGCAGTCTCAGCAACTTAGCGAGGCCCTGTCTCTAAATAAAAATAAAAACAGCTGGGGATGTGGTTAGACACCCCTGGGTTCAATCCCTGGTAGTAGGAAAAAAAAAAATCCATGAAAAAGCAGTCAGGTGTCACACTTAAGATGGCCTTGTCTTGTGTAGCATGGTGGCACATGCCTGGGATCCCAGCAACTTGAAAGCCTGAGATAGGAGGACTGAAGTTCAAAGCCAGCCTCAGAAACACAGCAAGGCCCTAAGCAACTGAGTTTCAAAATAAAAAATAAAAATTAAAAAGGGTTGGGAATATATAGCACAGGCATAAAGTGCCCCTGGGCTCAATTCCACGTACCCTGACACTCACCCTGAAAAAAAAAAGATAGTCTTGTCTCACAAGTTTTCCTTTCTTCTACAGTGCCCGTGGCACAGTGTCACCCCAGATGGTCAGAATGGCCTCCTGAGCTGACCACTTCCCGCTCAGCCCAGCTGTGGGACAGAGAGGTGACAGGTACCTGTGCTCAGAGCCTGGACTCTGGGTTCTGCTTGGAGCCTCAGGCTGGTCCCAAGTCCCAGCCAGGCAGCACCAACGGTGGGAGAGGCTGGAAAGAGGGAGGCTGAGGGGGTGGGGGTGGGCTTCTGGGAACAGCTCGGAAATGTGCCTCACACAAGCACTGACTTCCTGTGTGCTCTTGAGGCGGCCTTGGAACCTCCCTCACCCCATCCATCATCCTGGCATCCTCTAGGACCCCTTCCCGAGGGTTGGGGGTGGGGCTTGGGGGCCGGGGACTGGCTGTCAGTGTGGCTGAGAGACCGCAGCTGGCAGTCCTGCAGGCCTGCTTAGTGTTGGAGCTGGACAGTGGGTGTTGGGTGGGGGTGGGGCAGGCGCCTGCGGCCCTTCTAATCCAATTTGTTTAGACCCAGTCTCTGTGACTCATTTGTTAGCGGGAGGACTGGGTGCCCGCTGTGCTGGGGTGCACGTTTGCACACACGTATGGAGCGTGCAGGGTGAACAGGTTGGTTGACTGTGTTATGTAAGACAGGCCTGGGCTTCGTCCCTTTGTCCCCCTTCCCAGGTGTCAGTTCCTTGCTAGAGCGCTGCTTCCTTCTCTCTCCCCTCCCACATAGGAAAGGAGCCAGATAGGGGTAAATCTTCTCCCCATTTTCCCATCCACATGAGATCTGGTGCCGGAAGTCCCCTCTGTAACTCTCTGTGCAACTCTGAGTGGGTTCCTTCACCTCCCGGGGCTCAGTTTCCCCTCCAGTCTTACAGAGCTGGCACCTCACCTTGCCCATTCCCATCCTGCTGTGAGCGTGGAAGTGTCTTCAGCAATTGGCAAGCGTGGGAAGAATATGATCAGTGGTAGAAATGGCTGCCACCTGTCCTGAGCTTCACTGTGTGCTAAGGGTTGCCCACTTGGGACAGCCTGCCCACAGGAGGGCTCCCAAAGCCAGTTGAACTGGTTGGTTAGAAAGAGACTCAGACAGGCTCAGTGACTGTCCTGCCTCTGGATGCTGACTCTGTTCATTTCTTTCTAGGCAAGGTTACTACTGGTCTTATGTCTTTGATTCTCTTGGCCACCCTGACACATGGGCTTTGCGTGGCTATTTTGTAGGGAAAAGTGGGGTGGGATGATTTCTTGGCTCCTGGTTGATTTTCCCTTCTTTGGTTTCATTTCTTTTCACCTTTAACCCAGACCCCAACAGCCCTGAATGACCCTCAGTGCCACTCATCTACAGGGACTTTCCTTTGACCAAGTTCTCTTTAGCATTTTTTTTTTTTTTCCTGGTACTGGGGACTGAACCCAGCAAGCCACATCCCCAGCCCTTTTCATTTGTTATTTTGAGACAGGGTCTCACTGAGTTGCTGAGTCTGACCTTGAACTCGCAATTCTCCTGCCTCAGTCTCCCCAGTCACTGGGATTACAGGCGTGTACGACTGTGCCTGGCTGCTCGTTAGCATTCTGAGGCCTGGCTTCTGGGTCATGAGTGGCAGGATGCGGCCTTTTCCCAAGGATCCAGGTTACTCCAGGTGCTGCCTGCTGAGCGGGGTGTGTGGATGAATGGAGGGGGAATACTCACAGTTCTGCTGCCAGGGCTGCCTGCCGCCTCCCTCTTCTGGTCTCTAGGAGGCTCCCTCTCCAGGGTTGTTGGTTATCCAGTGCCAGGGTGGTAGGTGGCTTCCACCAGCCAGGGCCCTTGCCTAAAGAAACAAATACCCCACCTGTCAGAGGCATGCCAACTGCCTTATGGCCAGAGTCATGGCCTCCCAAGTTCCTGATCAGGCTGCCTTGGCTATCACCAGCTCAGAAGTCTTGGGTTAGCCACTTGTGGTAGTGCATACCTGTAATCCCAGCCACTGGGGAAACTGATGCAGGAGGATCACAAGTTCAAGGCCAGCCTCAGAAACTTAGTGAGTCCCTGTCTCAAAATAAAAAACTAAAAGGGCTGGGATGTGGCTTAGTGATAGAGAGCCTCCCCCAACCACCCCCCCACCCTGTGCACGTGCGCTTGGGCGCGTGCGCACACACACACACACACACACACACACACACACACACACACATACACACATACAAGTCTTGGGCTCAATCCCCTATAGAGTTTTCAGGCCCCGAGGGCTCCAGTATCCCTGCTTTGCTGCCTAGCTTTCATTTTCTTCTTTTAAAAAATGTTTTGCAGTGCCAGGGATTGAACCCAGAGCCTTGCACATACAGCACATATACCTTACCACTGAGCCACATGCCCAGCCCTACCTGGCTTTGAAAGAGGGTCTTCAGAGAAACTTTTAGGTTCATGACTAGGGGAGTTACCTTCCCTTCTAGCACAGTCAGACTCCATCACCAAAAGCACTGGTCTGGAAGGAAATTTCCCAGAGGCACTTCTGACCAGCAGCCACACTTCCAGCCCCACACATAGGAAAGGAGCCAGACAGCGGAAGATTGAAATCTGGGGCTAAGCTAGACCTGTGACCCTTTCCAACAGTACCAGGCTTGCAGCCTGGGAGATACTCCCCCGTCAGTCAGAACGCTCACAGACACTGCCAGGGGTGAGTTCAAAGAGGCAGTATGGTTTGCTCAGGGTCATCTGCCGACCAGTGTCAGAGGCAGACTTGGACCCAGGCTCTGCATGCTCAATTCGGCTGTCCCTTGAGCATGGGCAAGAGCCAGCTGGATGACCACAAAACAAAACTCACATCGTAATGGTCATTGCAAAAGCCCAGTGGCCTCTCCTGGCCTTGTTCATTTCCAAGAAACATGAGGGGCTGGGAATGGGCCACATCTGCGGGCCAGATGGCACCACTGTGGGGAGAGGGCCGAGGCCAGGGCTCTGCGTGAGCCCGTGAAGCATGCTCATGAACCTGGTTGTTTCCAGAGAGGCTTTCTTGCCACAACTCCCGTCCCCAGCTCCTCACACAGGCACACATCCCTACAACCTTTTCCCACCCTGGGCTGTAGGGCCCAGGTTTTTGCCATATGTTTGGAAAAAATGAAGACACCGGGTCCCTGTCTTTGCATCTCACCTCTGGCCCTTACAAGCTGTGTGACCAGTGTCTTCACTTCTCTGAACTTTGGCTTTGACCTCACCACCTTGTTTGTGACGGTCAAGTGAGACAGTTGGGAGTGCAAGCACAGATCCATGCACACAGTAAGCCCAGATACATGGTCACAGTTGCCCTGTTAGCACGGGCAGCCAGGAGGAGGGCGGAGGTCCAGCCGGCATCCAGGGCAGATGTGGAAGCTGGCTGTGGGAGCCAGGAGCCCTCCTTCTGTCCCCTCTGTGCACAGTTTCCTTGGGCCTCTATTCCCAGGCATCCCCACAGAGTTCACCAGTCTCACACGCCCCCCACTTCCTCCCCAGGGAGGGGAGCTCCAGGACTTTTCAGCAAGCCCTGGGAAAGGGGTATGAGGCCGAAACAAACCCACAGGGAAAAGAGGGAAGAAAAGGGGCCCGGGCTTGCCTGGCCTAGAGCCCTGGGGCCTACCTCTAGTAGCTCAGCCCGCCTTGGGAGGGGCCTGCAGACCAGGATTCCTATGGTTGCTGTCACCCTGGCCTTGCAAACTGGGGAAGCGTGGGAGGATAGGAGTTCTCACCTATCTGTCTTCCTGTGCGCCAGGCACTTTGGGATCTGCTCAGTCCTAAGAGTGGCTAACAGCATCCAGGCCTTTGACAAGGCAGCTCCCCCTTGTCAAAGTATTTGCAACTGATCCTCATGATCATTTATGACTTAGGTATTGCTCTTAACCCCCATTTTCCAGATGAGGAAACTGAGGCTCTCAGAAGTTACAGCCCTTGCTCAAGATGACAAGGGGAATGTCAGTATCAGGCAGCCCAACAGGTACTTCCATGGCTCCCCTGCAGACCCAGATTATTCACGGCACCATTTTTAGAGGAATAACCGGAGACAGGATCTCGTGGCATTTTCCAGGTGTGTGTTGGTCTTTGTGGTGGGAGGTTGTGAACAGAGAAAGCACTTTGTCTAAGTAAAAACCACTTGGGCCCTGGTGAAGACCACAAGTCACTGAAAGCAAGGGGGCTTCTTATTTTGGTCACTCCTCTGCCTCTTTCCCCAGTATCTTTTTCTTGCATGGGGTGCATGCGTTAAAAAAACAAGCAACAAAACCCACTACCACAATAAACGCATTGGTTCTGCCTTCTGTCCTGAGTCTTTGCAAAGAACAGGGGCCTCCAGGGTTTCAGGGACATGTGATGCTTTTGGGATAATAAAACCAACAGTTTCTCCTGATACAAGTTGCATGGGAAAAGCAGTAGGTGAAGCACCAGGCATCCTGTAGATATGTATGCTGCGTGACCAGGGACAGGGTCTTCCATTCTTTGGGCCTCAGGATCCACACTGGACCTCACAGTATACAGGGCCTCCCAGGGAGACTCCCACCCTCAACCCACTCCTTATTGCTAAGCCCAAAACTGGCCTCTATGACCTGGATCAGGAGGATTTTCTGCAGCTGGACCTGAAGTCTCGGAGCATTAGTACTAGAAGGATCCTTGTTTTAAACTTACTGTTTGCATAAGGAAGCAGGGGCACAAAGAGAAGAAGCAATAAGTTCAAAGCAATGCATGCTACCAGAGGCCCAGCTGGTACCCCAGCCAAGGTCCTGCCTCCCTAAGGGGGCATAATTCATCAGATAATAACACAGGGGCCCCTGGAGGAAGGTGGGAGAGAAGAGGGCCTTAAGTTCCTGTGGCCTTGAAGATGGAATAATCGTGACTTCCTTCTCCAAATAACTTTTGGCCCTTCCTAGAACCAGATGGCGGATGTTTGGACTTGATGTTGTAAATAGTTTTTCAGAAGGGGGTGGGGGCACAGATGTGTTACTTTCTCCAATCACCACAAAGATCTGAGGGAAGGAGATGGGGGAGGGAAGCTGGGTATGAAAAGATTGGGGAGACAGGGAGAAGGGAGGGGGAAGGAAGAGAAAAGAGATGGGAGGCGGGAGGGAGAGAAAGACAAAGGAAGAGACATTGATGGAGATTGAGAGGAAGAGGGTGAGAGGAAGACGCACAGAAGAGAGAGGATGGGAGGAGGAGGAGGGAGAGATGGGAAGGGGGCTCTGGGGTGCAGACTGCAGACAAGCTCCATCCTGACTTCAGGAGCAAACCCTTGGGTTTTCTAAAAATAGTTCAGCCTTTCCCTCAGCAGGGCTGGCGGCAGGGACCAAGAGAGGCACTCTTGCCCTTTTATGGTAAGAAAAATCCAGATCTTCAGAGGGAAGCTGAGCTGGAGCCTCTAATTCTGGATGAAGCCCAGCCGTGGGGTCTGGGGTAGGACAGGACTGGATGGGGGCATTTCTGGGTGGGATTTTCTGGCCTAGGTCCCATACAATCTCTGAGAAAAGGGCAGAGGTGGGGGTAGCGGGGGCCACCCAGGAAAGCCCTGGGCTCCTGGTGGTACAGGCTCCTAGAGACATGTGCTCCATCCCACCTCCCTGCTTTATGGAAGAGAACACTGAATCTCAGAGGAAGGATTGCAGGCTCCTTGCCTGAGACTTTGAGTGGTCCAGGTGAATGGATGGCTGGGTCCACAGGAGGATGACTTCTGTGCCTGTCATTTTGAAGTGCAGATGGTCAGTTGAAAGAGCACTGATCTGGGAGTCAGGAGACCCACTGTGTGTTTCCAGTTTGCACATGACTTGCTGCATGACCCCAAGTAATTTGCTGACCTTCTTTGGACTCAGCTTCCTTCACTGGGATGATCTTAAAGGCCTTCCTAGCTTTTTCTCTCTCTCAGGGAATTTCATAGCTTAAAGTGAAACTTGGACATAATTCATCAGCTGCTGTTTTCTTCTTGCCCCTGGCCCACTTTCTGCTCCAAGTGGGGTGGGTAAAATCTAAGATAAGAGGAGACCCCGTGGGGGAATGAAGATGGAATCCCTGACTTCTCCAGTTGGTTGGGTCCAGCCTGCTGCTGGATACATTGAGGCCAAGGAGACCTCATGTTCAAGGTTGTGCTCAAGGTCATATAGAGAATTGGGGAAGAGCCAGGAATAAAGTCCCTCTCAGCATTTGGGCTCTTTTCTCTATAGGAGATCTGCTATAAACAGCTGCCAGACCATCTTGGGGACCATCTCTGGCCACACAAAGGAACTCCTTAGGCAGAGCAGCGAGAAGCCAATATAGGCTGTCATCTTCCCACTACCCCTTGGAGACAGGGAGATCTCTGCTGGGTCCCTGCCTCTCCTCTGTCCCCACTGCCCTTGGCTGGGAGGAACATAGCATAGTCTCCATCTTTGGCTAGAAAGCAAAGAAACCTCAAAGATGCTAAGGTAGGGTGACCTTGGACCAGTCTCTCCCTCTCTCTGTCATTGGGCCTCAGTTTCTGCATCTGACACAAGGACAGAGACTCTGATGCACTTTCAGGTCCTTTGCCCTCCAAAAGGACGAAGGTGCTAAGAGTTTAGGATTGGACATCAGGAATGTTTATTAAGCATGTGCCACACCAGGTCACCAGGGTGGATAAGATGGAGAAAGTGTGCTTTAGTTTCATGTTGGATGTGAGGTGGGGACTCATTGCCTAAGGTTTCTGGAATCTTCAATCCTGAAACCCTTCTGTCTTTATTCTATGAGCCCCTGGGCTGAATCTCTAAGCCCAGCTTGAATCTGGGATCAGGTAGCTCTGGTCATTATCCAGGGATGCCTACTGGCCTGGTCAATGTTCGAGTGCGATGCCCCAGGACCCACAGC